CGTAATTAGTGATGTATTCTAACAAAATTGCCTCCTTAAGATCCTGAGAAAGCTGAGCTGAGCTGGTTCCTTTGCCAGAGAAAGTTAGCTCACCAAAAGAAATTAAAATAGGGGTTTAAATTTCAGTGGAGCCGGGGGATTTCAGTCTGACTGTTTGTGCCTTGTTCGCTCTCTGTCACAGACTTTGCAGCAGCTCGGCTTTCTCAGGATTTGCAGAGGGTAGTAATTTTGTTCAAATGCAGGGCTAATTGCAAGTAGAGGAGTGGGCATGCATGAGAGGAGTTGCACGGCGAAGGAAAGCGCGTCACTAAGCTGTAAAGGTAGCAAACAGCAAAGAGGATAGCAGAAAAACAGAGAATGCCATCGGGGCGGCAGCGGTGTCCATCAGTCAGGACGAGGAGTCTGAAGACAATGGGATGAACCTGGGTGGTGTTAGGAGGCACTGGCAAAGCACAAAGGGGCCTCAAAAGAGAGCATCAACTGTTCAAAAATCTGACCTTGTCAGCACAGTGGGTGACAAAATTTATGATTAACTGTGTTGTATTATCCTTGCATGGGCAGTTATGTGCACTTACAGTCCCTGGTGCAATCACTGGTTCCTCTGGTACCACACTGAAAGGGGAAAACCATGCAAGCTTCCAGTGGCTTGAGCTTTTACAGGGAAAGTGAGTCACAGAAGCACAGGAACCTCCACTGAAAATTCCTAGAGGTTATTCCATGTATTTAGAGCAGATTTATGAGAAATGTGTGCCTAGAGATTCTCTGTGTCCAGAGAGCGATGTGTTAGCCGGCTGGGTTGCGATGGTGGCCTCTGCATGGCTCTAATTCAGTACCATCTTCCTGAATCATCAGTTTACACAGACCGATCATCTCTTGATCCATGTAAATACCAATGTTAACTGTTTCTCTCTGGTCACTTTTCCCTCAAGTGCCTGATGTTATTATTTATTGCTCTTAGGATCTCGGTTTATAAGAGGGAAATAACGGAAAGATGAATAGCCCAACAGAGCCAGGAGGTGGTTACACTTAGTATGTCATGGAGCTCAGGGCATGCTCTTTTCAACAACAAATGACAGCACAGTGTAAGAAATGCCACCATTTTTTCCTGAATGCCAGTAACCCAAACCATTCCTGACCCCTGAGAGTTTCACCCACCCAGCCACAATCTCCAGCTCCCTCTCCTGGGAAAATGTAAAAGTAGATAAAAATATTTACGGCATTTTAAGAAGCGAGGGCAGAGTACAAAAAGTTCAGAAACTCTTCCTTGTGGAAAGCAGAATAATGAAAAATAATAACACACCATTTACTAGACTGATGTATTCTTTATCTCCTGAATTTAGTGCAAATGACTTTGCATTCACTTGACACAGCAGAAGCTTCATTGTTACAAAATTTAGTACCTGCGTATTCTTGTATTTGGAAGATACGGTTCTGAATTTAGATCCTGTGTGCTGCAGAGTTTATGCAGCTTTATTTCTGCTCCAGAGTTAGAGTTGTTCAGGCTTGGGTGGGGCAGGGGACAAAATTACTGCTTCAGCGAAGAGACACTTCTTTTTAACAGGATGTGGAAACAGCTACCTGACAGTGTATTCAGAGAAAGAGGGCAGCCGGGGAGATGCAACCTGTGACTCAGCAGCCAAGTGAGGGTGAAAAACAACCTGCCGTATTGCCTGCCGTTCTGAGGTCATCTGCAAATCCCATTAGGCCACATTTTCTACTAAAATAAGGCATTACCTGAGGCCTTACTCTTCTTTAAGGAGACAGCCCTGCTGTAATAGCATGACTCGCATACAAATCCACCAATTTAAAAAAAGAAAATATGTTTTAAGCTCAGCTGTATATCTAATCAAGTACCTCAGATGCTTTATGGTGCCAAGGGTTTCACCAACACCTACAGGAAATCAATCAAAGCCTTTTAGCAGAAGGGTGAGGGAGGGGAGATTCGTGTATAATCTCATTCCCGCCTACTGAGAGCCATTGAGAGCAGCAGTACCACCACCTTCAGTGTTTCTCTGGAAAATATTAAGGGCTTGGGATGTGTTAGCATGATGCCTGCCGCCCTCTCCCCCGCCCCGGGTGGAACAAGGTGGCGTCTTGCCCTGTTTGAGCTTCCCCAGCCTCAGCAGCAGCGAGACATTTAAGGGAAGAGACCCGCTGTTTTTCTTTGCTGCTCTTTCCTTTATAGCAAATCCTGTCCCCTTTTCTACACGCCGCTCATAGCTACAGCACTGAGGCGGTGACAGAGCCCGGGGGAGGCAACCCCAGCCAGGTGGAGATGATGTGCCAACGCGTTTCAAAGACCTGCCGTCAGTGCTCTGCTGCCTAACCCTGCCTGCATCCTGCCCCTGTAGTGCTGCCCCTCTTCCCATGCAGCCTCAGAGCTGTTCCCATTTGGGGCGAGGGTGGAAATCCCCTGTCTGCAGTCCCTCTGAGGCCCATGCTGAGCAGCAGCTGCCTGCCCGAGGAGGTGAGCCCTGAGGAGCGCCAGCCGTGTGGACCACCAGGCTGGCGGCACGGGGAGGGAGGCCAATGCAAGCCCCCCAGCCCGGCATTTGAACCCGCACAGGCCGTGCTGCCTTCCAGGTTCATTAAAGGCACTGGTCATTCAGGATTGAACATCAGGGTTGAACCCAAACGTTGTCCTTCGCCGTGGTGGGGACCTTTGGTGTTTCAGGAAGCCATGGGTTTTTGATGGCAAGCCTGGATATGGTGGCTGGTTGCTGGTCCAGGCTTTAGGTCACCCTAGAAAAGTAAATTCAGATGACATGGAGTCAAAGCACTGGGTCTCTTCTTCAGCATACTTTCCCTCCACTAATCCCCTGAGGGTACAACGTGGCAACGCTGCTGGGGAAAAGAGACCCGAGGAAACATCTTTTTTGCCTTGCATAACAAGGGATAAGAGAAGGAGAAAAACAGATGTAAAATACTCCCCTGTCAGATCAAGGTGTGTTTTTTTCCCTTTGCCCTTTAGCAAATCACTCCATTTCCCAGCTGTCAGACTGGTGGACTTCAGTGTTCAGAGAGATGAACTCAGAGAGAGATCCCAAACATCTGATGTTGTTGCTGCATGGAATTTTTAAGAGAGCATAAAAATCAAGACCGCGGGGGATTTTAACCAATCTTTAAGTATTCAGCTACTGAATGTTTTGCCCTTTAACACATTAGATGTTTTAATAAGAAAGAAATCGACAAGAAAGAGAAATGCATCTCATTTCTATTTTTCTTTAAATCCTAGCCACCCCTTACAGTGATGAACCCAGCTCTCCGAGCAGGGTAGCACACGATGGGATTAAAAAAAACATTAGTGCTTTAAAAACAGCTACCCACTAAAAAGGGCAAAGGAATAAACTGATGAGAGATATAGCTAGATTAGTTGATGACTGCAAAATTCTTTGACTGTGTAAAGATCTATATAAATGCAAACACTTTTTGTGGTGGGCTGTGGAGATTTGGGTCTCTGGAGTTCTTGCTTGAGTCTGAGGTGAGTAGTTGCCATACTGCAATGTATGGGCTTGAATGGGAGGTTGCCTCGGGTAGCTCCTGGTGGGCTAGAAATGTCACTTCTAAACACTAGCTGTCCTCCCTGTTGGTGCTCAATAAAAAACCCTCTAAACACCTGAGGAGACTGAGGTTCACTACTTGTGGGTACTTTAGCATGTGCTGAACTTTCAGCCAGTGGAGATGGCTATGTCTTGGTGCAGGGTCAGTCACAGGATAAAAGTAATGCTTGAAACCAAACGCCTTCCTACCAGAGCCTTCATGAAAGCATCCTGAGGACACAGGTACCTTGGGCCAGGAAAACATACACCACTGTGAAAGCCGAGACTGGGTGAGAGGGTCCCGAGGGCTCTGGAGACGGGTGGGAGGCTGTGCACAGGCAGTGGTCGGCTGCTGTGTGCACAGGTGGGTCGGTGGGCGAAGGGCAGCAGGGACAGAGCTGCCTGCCCCGCCGGCTGCCTGCTACCCAAGGGCTGCCCTGGCTTCTCCTGGTCAGCACTCAGCTAATCCTGGCACGTCACTGGCACTTCCCAAGTTTCTACAGTCATCAAATAGTCTCTGCGGGGGGAAACGGTGTGTGAGAAGTTGAAATGTTTTGATGCTTTCTAAACGAAACATTTCATATGCTCATATCAGAGTCACATTTCATCCCCAACCTTTGCTTGATTTTGTTTTTAGAGAAGCAAAATCTTTCTTTTTTATTTTTTCTTTTAAAAATAAAAAAAAAAATTCTGTTCCCAGTACTAGTTAGAACAAGTATTTTAAAACCTGTAATAAACAAATAAATAAATAAACCTATAATGGAAACAGCTCTGGTTTGGTTTGCCACGCTGCTGGGTAGGCTGTCATGAATGCGCTCTTACGTCCAGTCCGTAGTCTGCTGCTGAACCTTCAGGTCATAGTAGAGTGAAAAAACACCACAAGTGACAGTATTACTGACTATTGAACAACACTCCTGAGTATCAAAAATAAGAGCCAAAAAGAAGTGGACTTTTCTAGGAAGGAAAACGACATGTCATTCCAAGGCCAGCATTGTAAACATAACCTTGAATGCCGCATCAGCGCTCTCGGCCTGAGATCCAGTCCCCGATCACCTTCCTCAGCAGGGTGCTTCCAGGGCTTCCTTTCCTTGTAATAACGACGTCACCAGCATATTTAACTGCAATACTAGAGATGCGATTTCTGAAAGTATGTCACTGTAATATTACTACACCTTGCACTATTTCTTTTTTTTTTCTTCTGTCTTTGCGGGTCAAGACTTTACATTCTTGAAAGTTTTTCTCCCTTTCTCCTGGAGGCAATAGTTAGCGAGAAGGAGCAGTTACAATCGCAGCACTTTTTTTCTGGAACTTAGCAGGTGTGAAATGTTCTCCTTATGATCTAGTTAAACCTGTTAAACATTTTGCGAAGCTTTTTGATAGATCTTCGTGTAATCATGTTAATGATACATTGTTCCTTTCTCTATTTTTTCCTTTTTTTTTTTCCCCTTTTTCTCCTTACAGTTGAAACGATAGAGGAAAAAACAGCAGACTCCTTGCAAGATTTGTACAGAGCCTTGGAGCAGGCCAGCCTGTCTCCTTTAGGAGAACACCGGATTTCCACTAAGCTGGAGTATAAGAAATCTTTTGTAAAGAGATGTAGCGATCCAGTAGTCAATGAAAAACTGCACCAGCTGCGAATTCTGAAAAGCACTTTAAAGGTGAGATGAAAGAGGGAGGAAAAATCCTGCCCCAGGGTTGGATCAGACGGTATTGTATTCGGAGATTAATTGTGCGCAGCTGGAGTCCAGGCTGAACCTAGTGTGCAAAACAAGCAAGGGAGACATGGGGAAGCGCTGTTCGCAAAGCAGAGAAAAATGTGCCTTGGGAGAGCCGTGGAGGTGAGGGGATCAGTTTTGATTTCTGTGCAGATAAAAATCTCAGTTAGCTGCTCCTCCTCCAGCTAGTTTAACAGAATTTGACGCCAAATTATCAGAGGCGACCTTAATCCCTTTATTGTCCCTGAACATTTTCATTTACCAAAACGCATTCACTCAGTAATTGCCGAAGTCTAAAGTAAAGCAAAGCCAGCCTTTCAGAAGGGAGCGGTACCTTTTACAACACTTGATTATTTTCCGATTGCTGAGCTTGTCCGGGAGGAAACTGTGTGCTTGCTTTCTGCATAAGCTGATAGGATCATTGTATTTAATCAGTAGGAGTGATTAAATAAATAGATAGTGGTAATGATGGATTTGAAGATTTTTATGGTTATTCTAAATGTACCACAGCTCATTTAGCCTCCCTGTCAGCTTCTTTGTTTGTTACAGCAGTTTCAATTCTGTCCTGATAGAGATTTCGGAAAACAAGATGCTGGATTTCCACAGGGACCCTGTTAACTATATTAAATTACCACATTTTAAGTCACTAGATAATTGTACAGTGGATTTCATAACAGCTTTCATCAAAGAGGGCTTTATCAACATTAATTAATTTAGTTTTCCATCACCTAGAGAAGCATTTAAGCAATATTATGTTCATGCTGTGGAGCTCCCACCCTGAAAAAATCTTACTCATGCTTAACTTTCTGCATGGTATCATCTCATTGAAGGCAACTGCTACTTGTAGCATTATCTGGGTATGTGAGTCTTTGCAGGATTGGAGGCTGGCAGAAAAGGACAAGATATACAGGCTTTCCACATGACTTCTACAAGCGTGAGAAACTGAAACAAAATCACAGTACTCTCAGACACGTCGGGGTGGCAGGAGGTTCACTCTGTATCTGTGCTTTTGCACCATGGTGGGATCACTCATACCAAAACTGTGGTTCAGTATGGCTTGCTGCCATGCTTAATTGTCTTTCTTGTTAGCATTTATTGATACCTGAGCTACATTATGCCAGTGGCTTCCTACAAATGGAATTGCTTTCCTCCAGGGAATTCCAAAAACAGCACATCCCCTTTACCTGGCGGATGCCTGTTTTCATGCTTCTCTGGGACTTCTTTCTTTTGGACCAAGCAAACACAGTTTGTTCATTCTCTGTCCATGAGCTGTATTTTCTAAACCTGTCGCCATTTGTGTTTGGACCTTGATTGGTATAAATCATTCTTAAAGTACAGGACATCAATAATTGAAAACACAATGGCAGCAAGTACCAAAGACAGATAATTGCTGTTTCTTGCGTACAGCAACAGCGTAGAGTGACACGTGCCTGTTTTGCAATGGCATCGTGGTAACTCATGACGAGTTTCTAGCTCCGTTATAGCCCAGAGCTCCACTTCTGCCATACTGCTGGTAGTCGTATCTACCGGTAGCTACTGCTGTTACCTCATCAGTTATTCTTGCTTTTTATCAGTGCCTTTGATTTCTCCTTCCTGAATGCTCAGCCAATTGCATTGGCCTGTTGGAGTTGGTGTTCTGAACTCTCCTTCAATTTATCCGAATTATTAGTAGCCTGAGACAGCCCTCCAAATTGCTTCTAGCTCTTGTTGTCCATAGGCTCTCTATTCTATCATCTAAGTCCTTAATGAAAGACCCCTCTGCTCTCTTTCCTGTGACACAACACGAAATCATTCTGCTGCCAGCGAGTATGAGCTACCTGGCTGGTAGTGCGGAGGTGTGGGTACCAGCCACAATCAGCGAGAAGCAGGTTATGGTAGTTCAAGCAGAGATATGGTGATCAGGAGTTCCCATGGTTTCATTTCCACTGGTCATTCTCGGCTTGCACCTCCATTTCTGAAAATGAGTATTCTAGCACAGTGTTAATTAGCTACTGTTTGCAAACCATGAAAAATACTTTTCAACCTACTGCTTATGGGTGATGCCTCTGACCCTTCTGACCCTCTCCCACCAACACTGGGCTGCCACAGCTTAATATTTCCCTTTGACATGCTCCCCAGAAAGATTTGACATACTCATAGTATGGACATGGAAAATGTGAGTTAGCAATGAGGAGCATGAAACCCGTCTGGCAGGGAGGATAGAGGGGAGGTTGCTGGTGACCACACGATACCTACGCAGAGGAGTAGTGCTGAAAACCTGCGTGTTAGCTGTGTTTCCAAGGCTTAAGTCTGTTGCATCCAGCTTCCACCGCTTGCAACAACCGCGAGTGGCTACGGGTTTATCAGAGGCTTACTCTGACCCGTACTGGCTGCCTGTCATCTCTTGATAAACTAATCACTGGCCAGTGATTATGATACAGCCACATCCCCTGCCTCAATGATGGGTAAGGAGATACCAGCAGCTATGTTAGATTTTACCCATTTCTGCCTTCTCTTTGCCACCGCAGTGGTAAGAGGAGGTTGCAGCCCGCCAGCCCATCGCATACGCTGGATCTTTAATGAAGATGAGTTATCATTAACACAGGGGTCCTTCCACAAGCCTTTGCAACGTAGCGCTCAGATGTCCCCATGACAAGCCTGCTAAAAAAGGCTTAGCTCTGCTGGCAGGCGAGAGGCCATCTGTCTGCATCCCACGCACCCACGCAGTATTTCTTATGCTGATCAAGAAGAGCAAACAGATGGCACTTTGTCGTGTGAAACCCGTCTTGAGAAATGCAAGCAGCTAATAGTAAACAGTACAGGGCTTGCTTTTTCTTGAGCTGAACGAGGGGCGAGGAGGGGGACTAGGGACTATTTCTGAGGATGCTGGACAAGGCGAGGGAAGCCCTAGCCCCACCGGGCGATGTGTGATGCCCTGTAGGAAGGGCTCCTGTTTGCAAGCGGACGTATAGCAGTCAGATGGTCCCCCTGCTTGTAGGGTCTCCGTGGCTTGAGTTTGCTCCCCCTGTTCTCTCCTTCCACCCACGTGATTGATTTTGCCAGTGACTCATCACTCTCATTGACTCTTTGCTTGTTCCTTTTCTCTCACAGGCCAGGGAAGGAGAAGTAGCCATTATAGATAAAGTTCTGGATAATCCTGCCTTGACATCTAGAGACTTTCAAGAATGGAAACAAATGTACCTTGATCTCTTCATGGACATCTATCAAAGCAGCACCCCAAGGGACTCTGTTAATGGCTCGTCTGAGGTTGATGCACTTATAGCCTCCTTAGCGCACACTCACTCGTACATTGAAACGCATGTATAAAGGTCTCTCTTTTTGTCCATTAGCTACACTCCAGCCCTTTACTTAAGTGCATAAAGTAGTTTTTATATCAATATGTGGGAGCTCTAGTAAATTATATTTTAATGTTACTCAGCTGTGTGAAATAAACCTCCAATGGTCAACGATACCATGTCTTTAATGAGGATTTGTATATTTTATATGCTACCACTGCTCTGCTTGTGTTTACCTTCTGTGAAATAACAAACATGATCTTTAGCTATTAAAGTATTTAAAAGCATTTTTGGAAGACTGTGGCCTTCACACAGGAAGTTACACAAACTAAGTGTTTTGTTATCGAAGGTCACTTTTACAATGATATTTTATACTATATAATTCCAGTATTGCATTGCATTTTTGGAGTGCAGGTACTATTTTGGTGGTGGGAGAAACCCAATTTTTATACTGAATGAGAAACTCTAGGAGTTTTCTTAAATAACAGGGAAAAAGTGTAATGGGGTGGTTGTGTTTCAGTTTTGTCAAACACACAAAAGGGTGAAAATCGGCAGACAGAAATGACTAACGTGAATTTAAGTATCAAAAGGTTAGGTCTTATTTCCTTGTGCTTTTTTAAAGCCTGTTGCTAGGGTTTACCACCAGTGCAAAGGGATGCTGGTTTGTATTCTAATTAAGACCAAATGATGTGTTATTTGTCTCTTAATCACATTTGGTTGATTTTTTAAAAAATTAGTCATGGTACTGTGATTTATGCTGCTTTTGCACTGAAGGTATCAGTATGATGTGCAGATTTTGCAAAAGAGAAAATGTAGACTTTGAACATCCTTGATAGTGGCATTTTTCTTGCCCAGAAAAGCAGCAGTGGAAAAGGTTCCCGACGAAATGCTCCGAATCTGAGAGGCTTTGAAAATCCCCACAATAGAAAAGGAATGAATAGGATTTTTCAAGTAGTCGCCTATGTGTTTTCTGAGCTGTGAAATTTGGCCGTATTGTATGCAGGGAAAATGTGTGATGGGAGCAGAGCTGAGCACAGAACCTGAAAAATAACTGCGGAGTAAAAAAGCCTCTGGTTTGCTTTTGAAGGGGAAGGGATGTCTCTGGGTTCCGCCGAGTTCACAAGCCAATTAAAATGTTTTAATCTTCCATGAGATTTGAGATGTGCTGGAGGCAACCCAGCGAATACGAGTAGCAATAGCTCCGTAGAGTTAGGCAGATACCTGGAATAGGAAAGTGGGAGGGGAATCTTAAATCAGGTATTTACTTTTTATGGGCTTGTTTTCGAAAGGTGATCAGAGCATGACAAAATATTTCTGCTGCTTTTCAGTACTTTGCTGCATAAGTTAGGACTCACGACATGATTTAATAATGCTCATGTGAAAGGGAAAAGCCTCCTTTATACTTTTTACAGTGAGTTGTACTCTTTACCAACTTTAGACTATTGCCTGTGCAGCTCAGTGAATGTACTTTAAACTTTATGAGCTCTGATATTTCCCGGCAGTTATATCCATGAAGGGATGAAGGAAAGAATGGACAGATTCTTTTCTCTCTCCTTCTTTCTTTTTATTCCTCCCTCTTTCTTTCTTGTTATTTGATTGCATATGGATTGCAAACGTTTTGCAGATTTTGCACAATTGTACAAAAGAGTGGCCTTTCTGCAGCCCATTTTCAGTAATCCTATATTCAAGTTGACATGGATGACGAATCATGTATTAACATTTGTATAGAATCCTGGATCCAGTGTAATATTTGTACCATTAGAAGAAGATTGTTTGTATAAACTGGACATTTATTTACTGCATGGGTACTGACTTGTATATTAAATTTGTGAGGTTTTTGTAAATTTCTCTTAAAAAATGCTTGACTTGAAATCAATTGTGCTGTTGTTCCAAGCATTTAGATTCTCTTGCTATTGTTTTACTGGACCAAAAGTAAATATATTCATATAAAAAACTCTTTATATCTGATGGGTGTATATGCACATTGTGTAGTTGATTCCTTGTCAAAACCAAGGCAGTTCAGAAGACTTAGATCTGTTGCTATGCAACAGCTATTCTGCCTGCACTTTACATTAGTAAAGTCAGCTTGATTGCTTTAAAGGTGAAAATTAAACGTTACAGTTTTTTAAGCTAGTCTAGTGACAAAGAACATGTGTCCTATCCGTTGTGCTGCCTTCTTTTAAGACTATTAAATGTTCTTCTATATATATTTTTATTGTATTAACTCTCAGCCTAGAAAGGGAACACTGTAAAATGAAGTACAATAAATTTAACTTTTAAATGAACATTTGTGACTCGAGATTCAATTTACTCCACCCCAAAGTGATTCTGCGGCATCTGACCATTTTGCCTGCATGTCACAGATCCACGTACCTTAAAGTACCCCCATAATCTGTGCCTTCGAACTCTGCCAACGTGGGCAAGAAGAAGTAAGACTATTGCTGTTTCGGATGTAGGCAGACACTGAATAAAGACTTCTGAGCACCTTCAGTTACCTCCCTCCCCATCGTCCTCTTTGATGAAAGCAAACCTTTTCTGACTGCAGGATTCTCTCATGTGCTAGTTCAACATCTATGAACAATTTTACCATTATGACCGGGCACAATAAAGCAGCGTATGCTGCCGCGGTGAGTATCAAGGCATTGGTTACAGCAACTCCTGTAACATGTTTTTTAGAGTCTAATAATAAGCATACCCATTCAGCTCTGGCCATCTAAACTAACACAAGGTTTGGATACAAAAGAAATGTACTGTACCGGTAGTGCGCATCTTTAAAATAACGCAAAATAAGCATCTGAAAGGCATGCTACAACAAAGGCCACTCGGAGAGAAGTGGCTTCTATGAAACAGTCACTGTTTTAACTTCTGGCCATAACTGAGTCTACATACCAAAAAATCCATGCTTTCTGTCCAGTAATTTCATGCTGGTTAGCTAAGACATTCTTGCCTAGTATGTAGCATATCAAATAATACCTTTTCCTTGGCAGTACTTATTATTAGTTCTCGTAGGCATCAATTTTCTAGTCTTTATACATCTCACTTTCATTTTGCTTAGCCGTAGCATGTAAAAATTCAATAGCACTTACCAGCTGGGAGAATTACTTCTGATTAAGAAGACAGAAAAGGTGGATTATGTTTTTTAACCTTTGAAAAATCTGACTTGCAACACCTATTAATTGCTATCTAGGTATTATTCTTCAAAAGTCAAGGATTATGATTCTCGCTCGTCGCCTTTACGTGTGCTACTTGCTACGTCCTTCCTCAGTGAGATCAGCTTCCAGCTCTGTAAATCCCAGCACCTTCTCCCATGCTGGAGCCAGACTTTCTTGCCTGTTTCCACCAAGCGTTTGGCTTATCAAAGCAAAACCTCCACTCTGTCACGTTCAGTGCCATTGCAATTTTCTTCTTCTCCAGGACCCCCCTGATGGCTCATCTCCTGGGATGATTATTCCGCAGCACCTGAGCTCAATAGTTTGGCGGCCTCTTCTGCTGGCTGTTGCCGTCCCGCTCGTCGGCCAGTTCAGGGAGTTGCAGCACCGCGCACTGCAGCCCACACCAAGGCAAGGGGGCTTTGCAGATCTCTTCCCAGCCATCATTGTCGATGTCGTAGCCAACCACGTCTTGCGTGGGGACTTCCTGTGAGTTTTGCCATTTCTTTCCCCCGATAAGAAGAGCCGTTTCCTCTACCACTGCCAGGCCATAGCAAAATCGATCATACATCAGTGGTCTTAACCGAGTCCATTGGTTTTGATCAGGGTCGTATCTTTCTATTTCAGAGAATGGTTCATATAATCCTAAAAAGGTGAATATGGCTTCTCTGATTGTTGCCATCTGATGCCCAAACCGAGCAATGCTCATGGGGGCTAGTTTCATCCACTGCCCTTCAAGCGAGCTCAGAGAATATACGTCCTTGCTTGTGTTGGCTGGGTCTGAGTACTTGCCGCCCGAGATGTATATAGTATTCTTGCAGATGGCACTGGCATGGCCATGTATCTTGCATGGCAATTCCCCGGCCTTCGTCCATCTGTCCCTGCTGATGCTGTAGACTTCCACAGACGAATGCAGCGACCCATCCTCACCCCTTCCACCAATGGCAAAGATATCCTTGCCTAGGACACAACAAGAAAACTGGCATCTCTTTTCCAGCATGCCCGTGATTTGGGTCCACGTGTTAAATCTCGGATCATAACGATGGACCTTGTTCGTAACCGATAAGATCTTTTCGGTTTTAGCATCACCTGGGGCAGCACTTTCGATTTCCCCACCCAAGACGTAGAGGAAGTTCTCCACCACGCACACGCTGTGGTTCTGCACCCTGTCCTGCACCTGCGTGAGAGCTCGCCATTTGTGATTGTAAACGTCGAAGGCCACCACATCGGTGACGAGTCCCTCGCTTGCTGTCCCTCCCCCTAGCAGAATGATCCGAGTTTTCTGGTTCCTCAGCGTGGTGGACTTATCCTGCAGGACAGGCTGTTTGAAAACAGATGTATGGTAATTTATTGCTTTAATGATCAAGCACTTAATACCTGCGGAGAGAGGCACTTCTGACTGTGTGTAGGTTTTTCTCAGCTCTTCCACGGGGATGAGGCCGTACCTTATGTGTTCTAAAAGGCTGCTTGCGTGAGCCAGCCTGGATTTATCCTGCTTCAACCACAGCAGCACAAGATTCAGCAGGTGGGTTTCTTTCACCATGGGGAGATCTGGTGATTCAACTGCTGCTAGCAAAGACCTGAAGTTCAGCTCGAGCAGTCCTGTCAAATCCAAGTCCAGCAGCTTCCAAAGGTTATTGACAATGTATTTTTCTGTTGCTGCTAAGGCATCCGGCAGGTAGAACTTCCTGGCCACGTTGGCGGAGAAGCAGCAGTTTTCCAAGGCAAGATTGTTAACTAAGTACTGATTGCACAAGCCAATAGCATCAGTCACTTGCAAGTAGCTTGCAGCTTCCAAGGTATCCTCCAGGCTTTCAAAGGAAAGAGGCAACAAGGAAGTGTAAATGAAATCCAGGACATGCTGGAGACCGGTGGGTGAGACAACTTGC